GAATATTTTCGATTCCCTTTTTAGAATTGATTAAATTATCAATATTAATGGTTTTTCTCTTAAACATTGTAAGAGGTTAATGATTGTGAATGATGTTATTAAATAAGAAATTATTTATATTCACTATAAAAGTTTGCTTTGAATGCTTTTATTTCAATTTGTATAGACATATCTGGAGAAACCTTTACATTTTGAAGAGCCTGTTCCTTCCGGTTTTTCTACTTTAAATAAGTTGGAATATAAAATAAATGGGCCTAAAAATTTTAGTGTGAATTACCAAAAGTTTTCAAAAGTATAACCTTAAAGCTGTTTACTACTGATAAGAGGGACAAATGCGACAAGCGTGTCTTTAGGGGAGTCCGTTATCGCGAGAATTCATGTGGGTATTACTCTCCTGCAAATTTCGATATATAAAATAAAAAAAATAAACGAGCATTTTAAATGCTGTGGTAAAATTATAAAATTATTAATAATATTTTATTATAAATTTTGAAAATTATTAATAATATTTTTTGCATAGGAAACAATGATAATTATGGAAAAATATATTAACCTTTTTTGTAAAAACCACAAAATAAAGGTTGTTACAATGCTATGTCTTACAATTTTTCATCGAAAATATCTTATTTATATGAAAGCAAAGCAGCAAATATTAATCTATAATCCTCCTTTGATATAGAAAAAGCAAGCAATGTAACGTGACAGTGTTTTTAAGATTTTGGAATGGTTATTTGTAACTTTGTATCATAATTTCAAGATATCAAAAAACAAATTTGTTGTTTTTTAGTGATACGTTGTTTTACGAGTTATATATCTTTAAAAATGTAATATTACAATCAACCTTTGCTAAAACATTTTTATCGATTACTCGTTAATAAAGCAACATATTTTCTAACATTTTATTTAAATTTGTTTGCAAACATACATATTTTTTATGAAGTAATTTTTTTACTGTCAATTTTGACCGAGTATTTTATTATGTTGAACACCAGAATGTAAAAGTATTGTAAGAAGTTTTCTTCCAACGATAATGTTTTAAAACGTAAATACAAACGTTTGAATGCGAAGACCACTCAGTGTAGTCAATTTGTTTAAAGATATGCGAGTCTAGATATATGGTTGTCCATTCAGATCTCCTATTACTTACTATTATTAGACACTAAAATATTATGTTATTATGAATACTGTAATTGGAGAGACACATTGTATCACATTTTATAATATGAGGTGTTTTCAGTTGCAATGATATAAATTTACTGATGTGAATGATGTTTTAAATAATTATATTATCGCTGAATTTATGGAGGAAAAGTTAAAGGAAATAATTAAAATTGCTTTAAAATGCAAATCCTATAGTTAGGAAGCTAAATCTTATAGTATGAAAAATTCTGATAATTTTTATATCTTCCGAGAAACCTGGTCAACGGTGACTAAAACATCTTTTTGGCTGTAACCCAATAGCGTCAACTGTTAATAGACAAGACACGTGGCAGGATTTAGCGCTTGCCCCAACGATAGCTTTTGTTTGGAGGGATTTTTCATGATTAATTTTCTACAGCCCGTCACTTCCATTTGGCACCCCCGACTAATACTAGGATTATACTTCGGTATCACTCCCTTGTTTGTTTTTGTAAGTCTTGTTATGTTTCGGTTGATAGGTATTGATATGTTGGAATATATCCTAAGTAGGTAAATAAATTTATAAGATGGCACACGTGACTTAATTGTTGTGATATAATATAATAATAAAATATCGTTACAGAATTTTGAATTAATAAAAAATGCTACATTTAAAAAAAAATCTAAATGTCTCCTAGTAAAGAAAATTTTGTAAAATACAAAATTAATATTAAAAAGTAACTCTAATAAAAAATGTAAAAAAGTGAAATAGAATTTAGAGAGTTTTATATTAAAATATAATAATGATATGTTTAAATATACTTTCACAGCTATTTATTTATTAATGCTTTAAATCTTAGGGCTTTAATAGATTTGTCGCAAAAGCTATGGTATATCTGGTTCTCAATTAAAAGGCTGGTAGCGTCGGACGTCTGCCTTTATATTTATGGTCAACCAATTGATTGAATTACAAGCTCCCGAGGCGTTTGCCCGTTAGGCATTCTTTATTTATTTGGAGCATTTATATACTGGCGCCAATGTATCCATTTCTGTATTTAAGTATTATCAAATTAAATATATTAAGTTATTTTGAAATACTTTGTTTATCTTAATTATTTTGCCAATTAATGAAATAGTAATATTTAATATATGCAAATAAGTTTATGAATAATGGAAGCGAAATTTATCATAGCTTTTGCTTTGCATCAAAGTGAGATAGAACAACAACAATGCAGAGCGATCTGAATTACTGTATTCTCGACAATATTTTCACAACGCTCGGATGTTCATGTTTATTCCCAAACTGCATTTTAACCCCAGATAAGACTACAGTAATATAAAACCTTATCATTCAAGCACGTGCCGGTGATATGTATCGCCGGCTCACCTGACACAAGTCCGAATCGTACGTGCCGCGAATCCAGAGGCAACATCCAATGCTATAACACAAATAGACTTGCATTTTATCTCATGGACGTAAAATTTATAGAATCGAATAAACTACATCATATCAATGTTGTTTTACGTGTATATCTATTTCTTAATTTATATATTAATTGACAACCAAAGAATAACGTAAATGTAATTAAAAGGTAATATTTTTTTATCCTAAAAAATTAAAATTGATTCATGTATGAGTTACACAATCAAAAGAGAACGTTGGGATGATATATTACAAAGTACAAAATTCAATGAACAACAAAATTTTAAAGAAATGTTTTGATTTTGCTATTTAAATACATTAATTCTAAATATGAATTTAAATATAGTTTTCTTACTGATACAGAAATTTTTGCATATATATTTTTTTTTACATTACAATATATCTTAGCCTTTTTAAAAATAATTAATAGATTGAAGGTTTGTATAAGTTTTTCTTACTCTTAAATATTTGTTTTCGTTAATTTGTATGCTATGATCGATTTATAATAACAGCAAAAAATTCTTTCACTTAAAAGTTTCATCTCCGTAGATACTTAGTGGAGTGTTAGCTGACTTCATGAATATTTCAACGGTAGAGTTAATGAAGGAAGCCTTTGTCCCAAACTGATAGTTTAATTACAAAATCGGACAAGAGCTTCTAAAGCCACGTTCACTTGATGCATTAGATACGATATAGATATTTTATATTTTGCATTTAAAACAAAACTTCATATTATTATAATACGGTTCTCATATTAAATTATAATTTCATAGTACGGTTTGGTTAGAGTTATTTTGGACCAAGTATAGAATAGCGATATTTCATTCTTTTATCGGTAAATAATTTTATGTTATCTAAATAAGTATTATGTTATATGAATAAAAATTCTTTAAATTAAGAATTTCAATTACAGAGGACATAATGTAATATCTAAATTGATAGTTATTAGTTGTTATATTGTACTTACCTTTAATTATTTTTAATTATTAATTGAATAACAACCCAGGTGTGGTAGAATTTCTTGTTCACCCTTTTCCAGACCAAAATAATATATAGTATATTACATTAATATTTAGTCTGATTAAGCAAAAGTAATATTGCAATCACTGCAGAGGTGCTAATTTACGCTCCCGGAAAACAGGTAGCAGGAAACGTGACTTGCTTGCTGAAAACCAATTGACATGTCCCAACCGATGCAAGACAAATGAAATTGCTATTTGTATGAGCAGAATTTCATTATATATAAGTTTTGTATTAAGTATTCGCGGTATATAGCCGTATGGGAGAAGATTTTGATATAAAATAGTATATCTTACATGCATATATATGTACTTATGTATATCGTGTCTAATCATACCCATATTATTTATGAAAGTGTGTCCGTATGTAAGTTATTCACGATGTAAGTGCTTGACGGATTTAGATAAAATCTAGAATAACAAAACGGAATTTGATGCCAGAGATGCCGTGAGTAACACTTACATACATTCTATTTACAATATTTTTTTACTTACTGCATGTGTTTAAACATAAATTTTATGTATTTTATTCTTAATAATTGAATACCACTTTTCATTCTTGTTCTTTTTTATTATGTGTTTTATATTTTTTCCCCATTCCGTAACCATTTCCACTATATTTATATCCTGAGTGAAATTATATCATATTTTTTTTAATAAAGATCCTAAAAGCAGTTGTAGAACTAAATACGTGACTCACGGCTTATATTATGCAATTGACACGTTCTGGGACACGAGGGGTTCTCTTTTTGTTGATATTGGGTTAGTTTTGTAAAAAGCAATGAATAAAAAATCACAAATTTGTTTATATGACATGTACACGCAGAGATTATAAAATTATTATTGGTGTATCTTCTGTCATATATTTATATCTTATTCTTAAAAAAATCGATTTATTTATTTAATTTTATGTATCGACTTTCTGAGGGTGCCAGTCAAATTGTTAGAATTTATATGTAGCTTATGATACACTGATATACGGTATGTTGTGTTATTTAATTACTTGAATAATGACAATTTTATATATATAACCAAAATAGCTTTACTGCCAGTTAAAATGTATACGGGGCTATTTATCCATCATAAATTTAATTTAATTGAATAATCAAATATACCAATAGAGCCCATGTTTACACGCATACTTATCCACTGATCCTCAAAGCTTCGCGAAAGCGCTACTGAGTCGGCGCGAAATCACATTGAGAGTGGGGGGGCAGTAACCTTTACAACGTCTGACGGGGAGGTTGTGTCACATCTGACTCTGTATACATCGCGATGTTCAAATAAACTATCAATATACATTGCGAACTTTTTTATAGTACCGACATGCATCATGATCACCTCCTTAATTGAGCCGGGTTGCATGTACGGGTCATGTATGTAAATAAATAATTAGTGACTATGTGTGGAGTGCAAAGTGTCGATAAGTAGTGTCAAGTATGGTCGCGGGAACAATTAAAAGAGATAAACGTGCATGGAACCAGTTTAAGTTTGTCCTTTTGCATCTTTTGTTCACTTTTCATGCGACAAAAGGTTGGTAAAACATTTGTTTTTTTATTGCTTTTGTTTTAGTACAAATTATGGTACAGATAAAATTATTTAATTGTATTACCAAAAAATATGCTACCAAGCTTACAATTACCATAAAAGATATGTCTTGTTAATAATATTTGTATCTAATAATTTAAAATATTCATCCTAGTACCATTGATGCTTATTTCTTAGATTTGCTTATTCTTGCTTATTTATAAAAGGAAATGTGTTTTATTCTTAGAAACAGTTACCTTACCAATATTTTTTTAGAATATTTTACATATTTAATATTTTATCATACATTAACAACCCTTTCTTTCTAGTTCAAGTCCCAATTCCGAGCAGCATCAGTAAACGGATATAGTAATTTTATAATTCAATCATAGCCATTTCCTTTACACATTTATTGTTTCATGTACTTCATTGAGTACATTATTTAGTTTAACTTCAATTTACTATCCAAGTACACACAGCTATAATGCTTTATTAATTTGTGTGAAAATATTTTCATAGAACCTTTTATCCCTACTAATATTATAAATGCGAAAGTAACTCTGTCTGTCTGTCTGTCTGTCTGTCTGCTACGCTTTCACGCCTAAACCACTGAACTGATTTTAATGAAATTCGGTACAGAGATAGAGTTGACCTTGAGAAAGAACATAGGATAGTTTTTATCCCAGACTTTTGAAAGGTTCTCTTGGAAACGCGATATAACCGAACTCCACGCGGCGAAGCTGCGGGCGGAAAACTAGTTATTTTATATATCGTTATAAAATTGTTCTTTTAGAAATAATGAGTTTTAGAGTAATAATAATATAAACTATCTATTTATATTTCTGAAAAGCCCAAAGCCGGGCGCCCAGGATAAAGGAACATCCATCTGATACAATAGTTGGTAGAAGTGAACCAGCAACCTTACGGTGTGTGGCTGAAGGTAAACCCAAGCCCACAATCCAATGGTATAAGGATGGCGTTCCACTTGCACCGACCGATCATCCCCATAGAGTTCTTCTTGAAGATGGACTGTTATTTCTCAGGTAGGCTATAATAATTAAAATTAAGAATTTTTAAATAAATTGAAACAAAATATTTAGAGAATAATGCATTGCAAAACATATGAAGAATAGAAAAAATATCAGCAACAAAAACAACCCTATGTTTTTTAAGCTAACAAATCAAATATTTGTAAGAAAATATTTGTGGAGCCTTTGTGAACAAACTTTCTGATGTTTGAATCCGTATGATAGAAATGAGAAAATGCTTAAAAATGAAGTGTATATCCGACAGAATATCCGAGATATAAATAAGATTCTTTAGGATTTTACCTTTCCAAACACCCTAAAGACTTATCTCCCCTTTATGATGCCATTTCCTTTTAGGGTTATGCGTAGTAAGAAGGAAAGCGACGATGGTGTATACTGGTGTGTCGCTCGTAACACCGTCGGGGAAGCGGTTAGCAAGAACGCCACCTTAACAATTGCTGGTATGAAATGCTTATACCTTTTTCTAAAATAATTAAAAGTCATTTATACAATTTTTAATTGATTTAACATTTTAGTTATGATAACATCAGGAATTAATAAACTTGAGATAACTTTAAAGACACTAAAATTTAAATTCTATGCATTGTGAAGCTAAAATTCTCAAGAGACAATTCACAATTAATTTAAAGTAATAGTTTTATACCCTCGTTTTAGTTCCAACTTCTACGATTCTCAGTACAATGGACTTAAAGGAACTATTTATTTTAATTAACTACGGCAAAGCTTTTGAATTTTCGTATAATTATAAAATTTATAACAAAAAAATTATTTGCTTCAGTCTTACGCGATGAATTTAGAAATGAACCTAGAGACGTAAAAGTAGCCAGTGGCGAAGCAGCATTACTTGAATGTTCTGCTCCCCGAGGAGTTCCTGAACCATCTGTTCATTGGACTAAAGATGGGCATAGTTTAGATATAGAAGTAAATGGAAGGTAAAAAAGCTACACATTGATATAGTTTCATTTCATTGTCAAAATACTATAGGCAAACCATTAATTACAGGGTCACTATAATAGATGGAGGTAGTTTAAAATTTCTAGAAACTATAGCTTCAGATAGCGGTGTATACAGATGTATAGCATCTAATGTTGCCGGAGAGAGGCAATCACGACCAGCGACATTACTCGTATTACGAAGACCACATTTTCTTGTGAAACCTAATAATATAACGGCTTTGATAGGACAGAACATCGAGTTTCATTGTCAAGTAAGAAAATACACAGTTACATGTGTGTACCAATTACAACATAGTTTTTATTTCTAATTATTATCCCTTACTTTTAGGCCTCACCCGAGTCGGATGTATCTGTAACGTGGTCAAGGGATAGAGGTTCATTATCTCTGTATGCGATAATACGAAGGGGTTCGTTAAGAATAGATAGGGTAGTGGCGTCGGACGGAGGTACTTACACATGCCGAGCTGAGAGTCAAGCTGGGTTTAGTGTTGCTACAGCAACTCTTACAGTACATTGTTAGTATTTAAATAAGAAATATTAATAGTTATTATTATATTGTAATAAACAGAATGTAATTGAGTAATGGGTTGCAGCTTTACCTCAATTTACGAGAGTACCATCAGATCAAACTGCTTGGGAAGGGGAATCAGTTTCATTTCCATGTGAAGCTGAAGGCACACCAAAACCTGTTATATTTTGGACGATGGAAGGTTCTCAGGTTCGACTTAAATATATAAATTGTGACATACTATAGAAAATACTAAAATTGCTGCATATATATTTTTAATACTATTTGATGAATTAGTATTTAACCGTTTCATTCTACAGGAATTAGTGTTTCCAAATTCAGAACACGCTACCGGGTCTCTTTATTTAGATCGGGTCTCGACACATCATGCTGGTAGATTGACTTGCGTAGCAGTTAGTGCTGCAGGAAGCACTTTACATACAGCAACTCTACAGGTGAATATATAATTAATGATGAATATTTATGGCTTAAAATACAAATTTAATTTATATACATATAATAATTTTCTAGGTATTAAGACGAGAAGCAAATTCATTTAATGGTAACTCTGAATCTTCATCTCCATATCCTGAATTAAATAAACCACAAAATCATCCACCCATGACTCAATATGAGCTTGTTCAGGCTCGTCGTTATTTACAGCAAGATGTCTTAGTTTTAAGAAGAGTCGAGGGGATATCTTCGACAACTTTAAAAATAGTTTGGGATGTAAGTTATTTTTTATTTCAATTAATTAATTTAATAGCTAATAAAGCATGTATGTAACTATATTAACATTTTAGGTATTAACGGATTACAATGAATATTTGGAAGGAGTAAAAATTTGGTTTAATGGTACTTCCTTAAATCGACAGCAAGCAATTGATGTACACAATACACAACAAAATAATAATTCTTTAGAAAGTTTTATTGAATTAACAAAGTACGACAATTTTTCTATGACTACTGTTCATAACAGTGGCTCATCTAGCCATTTATTAACAGGGTTGATACCTTATGCTCAGTATAACATATTTTTGATGCCCTTTTACAAATTATTGTTAGGTAAACCGTCTAATATGAAAAGTGGTGTTACGGAAGAAGATGGTGTGTATAACATTTATTACTCTAATAAAATTTAATGACATAACAAGAGCAAAGCTTAGTAAGTAATAAAAATAACGTGTTTTAGTCCCTTCGGCATCTCCGCAAAATATTTCCGCTGGTGTAATTAATGCTACATCAGCTTGGATCCGATGGGATCCACCCCCTGTTCACACATGGAACGGAGATCTATCCGGTTACTTGGTAGGTTTTTGTACTAAAGTTAATTACATTCTGTAGGTGATTGGGCGAATATATTTTAAGAGTAATTACCCAATGAAACAATGATTGCAACAGATCGAAGTGCGAGTGGGCGCTGGTACCAACGGGCGAGTGGTAGGCCAGATGTCACTAGGTGCTCGTACTCGGGCAGCGGCAGCTAGCTCCTTGCGAGCCGGTGGGAGGTATAGTGCTCGAGCTGCAGCTGTCACGCGCCGCGGCCACGGGCCTTTTAGTGCCCCTGCGCATATACATATGCTTCCCACTCATTCACAGAGACATTACGTTCAGTAAGTTTTTATATATTTTTCCATAATTATTATAATATATCCTTCTCATCAAACAACAATCATTTAACTTTCCAATTGTTTCAGAACTGAACCAGCGACCGACAAGGCGATATTATCAATGTTTCAGGAAACTTGGTTATTAGTGTTAAGTATAATCCTATTAGCGATAATAGTTGTAGGTGCCAGTGTTTTTATTTATTTACGACGGAGACAATCAAAACAGAGAAAAAATCATAACTCAGCTGGTTTGTACAATATTACTAGAATGCACATTATTTTTTTAAACAACAAATTAATTTTTATAATTTCATTTTTTTTTGGTAGGCACCCCCATAACGAACACACAATGTTTGCTAGGTAAAGAAGCAGTTTGGCTACGCGAGAGACCTTTATACGAAGACTCAACCGAACCTCGAATAGAAATATTAAACTGTCACCAAAGTTTATTACACAGTAAGTATCCAATTAAGATTACTAAGGTTTATTCATAGATAAGTATTATTAAATATGTTATGTTCAGGCGGTCATACAATAGGCACGATGGCCATGGAAGCTGAATATAGTCTTCCACAACACACAAGTGCTTTAAATATGATGGCACAAGAAGACACTAGACGACACGCTCCAGAACCTTACGCGTCCAGCGCTATTTATACTGAATTACACTATCAGGTAAGCTTAGTGATAGTAAACTAAAAAAATATTAATTAGGACGATTTCATGAGGCTATAAGTAAAATTTTAGGACCACACGGACGCGGAGGATTCGTGCATAAAGTGTGCTGTAAGTCCAGAATCTTACGACAATAGTATGGTTAGATCGTTTGCAGACAGTAATCAATATTCCAACGAAGAATGTTCCACGTGTTGTCGCAGTAGTAGTTCAACATTAACTAAAGATTACAGTGATATGACGAAATGTGGAAACGAAGTTGATGACGTGCAAGATCTATCTTTAGATGAATGTCCGTCTTGTAAGACGACACAGTCGAGATCATCTAGTCACCATGAAGGTAACAAAGAATGGACGGCTATAGCTGATGTCGAGTACGACTATCCTCAATGGCAATGGTTAGGAAGAGAAAATAGCTTCAGACAGATGACCCAAAATTCTAAACATTCAAGTCAAAGCCGACGAAGCGACCAAAACTGTAGAATGAATTTATGTGATATTCTACCACCGCCACCATACGAAAGGTACAACAGTTTTATAATTTGTTTGAGGGAAATAAAAATAATAATATATTGAGGGATATCTTTTCTTACAGGGAAACAACGTACAGGGAAATGCATGCATTTACTAACAATTCTGGAGCGTCCGGTTGTTCTGGACATTCATACCGAAGTTAGTTAATTATACGATATGTATCATAGATTTAAACAAGCAATACTAATTTAGGAACATGTACATAAACAATGTAAAAAAGGTTGTCAAAATTTTACGATAAGAGATTTATCACACCACTTTAAAGGTATTATTGTGAAACTTAATTCATTCAAATTAATTAATCTGCCTCTTCAGTTTTATTACAGAATTGGGCCTAAATTTTTTCTAAAAATATCATATCATGAATTATTTTAAATAACTTAAAAGCGGTGAGATATATTCTCAAGGTTGTAGTGTTGTGGACGTGTTTACAGATAGACTGCCATATTACGTAATTTAGTAGTAATAAATAGGTTTCATCTTTCTCTAGAGACTGTGATATAGTATAATTTTAATTGATATTATTTTGTAAATACTTTGGAATATTTGATACTATATACAATTTTACCTTGATCATATTTATTGCATGTACGTGGTAAAGTTTCAAAACAAACATAAATTATATAATTAATCACATTCGTAGGATTTTGTACTGAACCCTGGTTCTAGGAGCATTATTTTGATTTGTATATTATGATTAAAGTAATATAACTTAAATTTTTGTCTTATTTTATTTTAATTATTATATAAAAAGCAATAAAAATGACTTTCCAAAGTTTTATCCTTACTGATATTGTCAATAAATGGAATAATAGCAGGAACAAATTAAATAATAGCTTTCAAACAATAAATTCTCCACGCAAGTACTCATTTACGAGTAATCAAGGCATTTGAAGAGGCACTAAAGTCATAAATAGCTCGTTGATCGTATAGGAGTTCAATACATTTTATTTCGCACAAATGTTTACAAAATATTCCTAAACATTTATCATATAAATGAAAGAATAAATTGTTAATTTTAAATTTAAATGAATTTGTGTTAAGTTTTCTATATTGTTTATTAATAGATGATGTTCCGGTTATTTTAAATATTTATATTTTACGAACAATTCCCAGTTACTACTATATCGTCGCTGAATTTATGAATTATTTGTTGACAATTATAATTTGTTTTCATAATCTGCATATTATTTAAAACAAAACAAAGTTTCGTAACAATTAAAGCCTTAATCGTCTTGCCTCGTAAATGTGGGTTTTGCAGACAGCCTCCTAGCATAGGGAGTTACCATGGTAACGAGTCCCTACTACACCCTTGTTATTAATACCAGTAATAATTAAACTTGATTGCATTTCACACCAGGTGTTGGATGATGCCTCTTGTCAGGAGACGGCGTGACCCCCTGTCAGTCCTAATTGCAATTTGAAGAGCAATTACACGGGACTAATAAGTCTAACATAATTATGAAGGTCATTTATTACAGTCTGCTCAATATTTCATAACTTCAAAAATAGTTTACTTTAACAAATCGTTCGTCATAAATTGTTTCACCCTGTCAATCTCAAGATACCACAGTTGTCCGGTTTTTTTTACTTTAATTTAAAGAAATTATATTTATATATAAGCAAAAGTGCTTTCATATTGTTATTTACAATTCAATCATCATGCCCCTTAACAAAAACGTCACTGCGTCAATCTCCTGGAATTCAGTTTTCTTTGATTTCATTTTTCTTCATATATTAATCAAGTCACCCCATTTGCAATTTTCAAAAGAGCTTCGATTGAGGGCTTCTTCGACTTTAAGCCGAGGTGATATAAAAATACGAGACTAATATGGATGATGGGTATTTTAGACTTTATGAATTCTTGTATTTACCTATATATTATTATATATGTAGAACAAAGATCCTGTACATCAAAAACATTATTCTTCGATTAGCCATTAATAAGTTTTAATTGATACTAAATCAATGTTACTGGTTGAAGTCACGAATTATGAGAAATAATTACAAAAATTCACGAAAAGTCAGAAGTGGAGGGTGCATGAATTACCCATAACGCAGCGGCTGAAAGTACTTTCAGACCCATAATTCGTATTCCTTCGTCCGGGATTCCGTATAATATTTATAGGTATAGATAAGGCCTACAGATGGCGTTTTCCTTCCCCTAATACTTGTTGAGTTATGGTTTCCAATTTCCAGTTCCACGCTTCAGGTAGGAGGTGTGTCTCTTGTGGATTCTAGAAACTTCGATGGAATTTCATTTGATAAATGATTTCGTGAGAGTTATACCTCCTTACCACTATTTCTTCAAGCACACATATTAGGAAATCGCCTCATTTAATATAATAGGTATTGATGGTGTAAACATCTTTTATTATTAAAAACATATAAATGGCCCTTGGCATTAGTCACGGGTGAAAGAAATCAACACAAAATTATGACATCGGGGTCGGAGACTCAGCGGGAGTCACGCAATGGCGCCTATTTTGGTGATTTATTCAACTATAACCGTGAGTAATACAACTAATGATTAATCAGTATCCATTCTGTCTTTATAACACCTTTAAGAAAAAAAAAGCAGTCAGAACTAGTTAAAGGTTAGATTAATATGAGACATTAAGTCCTGCAGCACGTTATTTAAAATATAAAATTAAAAAAATTGGTTCGATAAAACTAATAACTTAACTATAATAAAACTGACAGTTTAAAAAGTTTTTATTCTCTTAAGTAAGGAAAACTAACAGACACATATTACATACTCAGTTATACTTTAACATAAGGAACAATATGAAAATAAAGGATTAAAATTACAGTCAATTTTTAATTACTAACTGTTACTACTACGAAGCTAATTTAAAAACTAATGGTAATTAGTTAAAAACCTAATCCAAAATCAAGTACAAACGCGGGTAACTTTTAATTGGCATAGTCTTAAAGACTAAGATCTAATTATAATTATAAGAAAAGATAAGTGACAGATAGTATTCTAGACTAATGATTACAAAACGGTTTATATCTGTATTATAAATCTGGGTTAACTCAGAATTTTCCTTTAATTGTATACATATTTTTTTAACCTCTTAATATCTAGAAAATATCTTGTAGAATTTGATATGAAGATGCATTTATTATAAATTAATAAATATGTCATTGAAACTGCAGTTTTTATAGTGTAAATTGCTTATCTGACTTTACTTTTATATGTACAGATTCATATAAAAAATAATATATTATTTAAATTGTAGTATTACGGAATAAACCAATTGTCTATAAATAAATGTTATATAAGAACTCATTTCCTTTTATTTATTAGCAATATCAACAAGTTAAGATATTCTTTACCAATGAACAATTTAATACAACGTAGTCTACATAATGCATGCTCGAGTAGAACTTTTTTCATACTGTTTTTTCTGAACAAAACTTTATCGTAGAATGGAGTTGAAAAGCTTATTTGTATTGTTTCACCGATAAAAGAACTCAGACTATAGAATTGAAAAGTTCGAACGCTATATAAAAATCCAAGACCAATGTTAAAAAATAAACTTGAATGAAATAAATACTTTCTTTGAAGCTTTGAATAACGGTATTTAATTTCTCAATGTTGTATAGATGAATCGCTACTGATGTATCATATTATAATAAAATGCTATGATAATAATTAATTATTTATTAGATGTTAGTTTTACGCCTACTCCCTAAAGATTTGTGCGATATGAAAACTGGCAATTAAATTGACGTAGAAAACCCACTATAAATTAGCTTATTAAAATAAATGAGCAAACATTTAGACATCGTTGTTGTGATTAATCCGTAGTTTATTGACGATCCCATCGCGCAACTTTTAATGTTATGCAATCAAGTTTAATGCCGTACTATTTCTTTTATAGGTGCTTCGAAATTGTCATGGATTTATTATGTTTAAAGTTATTTAACATCTCACAATATTAAGAGTAAATTATTCTAGTTAACTTAATTATTATCAAGAGTTTTATTTAGTGAAAACAATAAACGACTCATTGAAAAGTATTATTCATATTGTATTAAAAAGAAAACTTAATGTTAATTTAATAAAACTTATTAGTACTAAAGGAAACAACAAAACCTGTCCTTTTGTAGCGTTTTGTCAATTATTCAAAAGTTCATTAACAGAAATCGTGCTCAAGAACAGTTATGAATATAATCTCATTAAAGAGACAAAACATTCCTATTCATGTTATCGATTCCAATCATTACAAATTCACCGTGAAACTTGTGGAATTAGCCGCCGCAAAGGCCCCTTTATCTACAGCCATATTTTTAAGTAAATTACAAATAGGTACGGGGTACGGCCATCAGTTGCCGTGCGTGTTATCGCGACAAGGGGATCGCGAATACGATGTCTGTACACATATTAAGAACAAGTTTTTTATGATAATATAAGATTGAATTGAATGATATTTGAGATCCGTTAATACAAAATGTACGATATCATACATCTCATGATTGTTAATTTTAGACGGCAAAAACAAACTCTACAAATTGTTATTACATATTTCTTTTGAAAAATAATATTTATAGGTACGAAATGTTATGACATTTCAGTTTAAAAGTTAAGCCACATTAGAAAAGAAATAATACAAAAAGATTCACTAAATTCCTGGAACAGATAATAATTAAAAATAAGTCCTGTATATTTTTCATAATAAGTAGTTGAATATCACCGTAGTGTGTACGCAGAGGCGTCGGAAACAAATTTTTTCGTCTAGTCTCCCCGTCGCATTTACGGCGTTTCCTAGTTGAATATTTTTCCTTTAATAGTGTTAATATTACCAACATTCTGAATTGCTATAGACATGATATTTCAGCCTACAAAAAATGAAAGTGTTCTAAATAGACTTTATATTCTTCTATATGTTCACTCCTTAGCCTCTTTGTATTTGTCCTCCGATTTTTGTAAAAATTTTTTCATTGGCTAAATATTATTGTTTAAATTTTTTCCAATAATCTGGTGAAGTGAATTTATTCATACTTCTAAGAAGTATCATAGGTTTCTAATTATTATTTTTTTGTATTTTACCTCTAAGACCCTACGAAAGCTATATATTTTACGTAGCAATGTAAAAAGTCAATAAAATTCAACAAAAATATTGATGCTATAACT